GTTATGATTGTGGCATTGACCAGGGTCTTGTGGTCTGTAAAAATGATGTACCTTTGAGCATGTGGCAGAAGTGTTGCCAGGAGCTCTCTGTCGAATGTGCTGTATATCAGCTTCTGGAGGTGGCTGGAGCTTCCGGCTGAAGAATGCTAGGGGCTGTCTTACTCCAGGACGGCTCCTACTGCAACTTTGCTGGCGTCTGTCGGACGGGTTATGCTAAGATAGTGGGCCTGGTTAGGGCTGTTTTGGCAGCTGTAAAAGCTCTCTCTTGCTCTTGGGACCACACAAGTGATCTACTTCCGGCGACGGCCTCCTGGAGAGAGCCGAGAATGCTGGCAGCCCCAGGGATAAATCAGTAATAATTGTTTATCATCCCTAGGAACTGCTGGACTCCCTTAATGGATGTTGGGGTACGGAATTTAAGTACAGCACCTACCGTCTTTGCCAGTATCCGGATCCCCTGGCTCTGGATCTTATACCAGAGGAAATCGATGCTGCTGGCACCTAAAATGTATTTCTCTTGGCTGACTACCAAGCTATTCTCCTCCAGAAGGTGATGGACTGTGCAGACATGCTGCTGGTGTTCCTGGTGGTTCTGTGAGAAAATGAGAATGTCATCGATGTAGACCACATAGAATGTGAGCTCTCCAAAGATCTGGTCCATCATCCTCTGGAAAGTGGCACTGTTGTTCCTGAGCCCGAAAGTGAAGTAATGGAAAACATAACTTCCAAATTTAGTAACGATAGCTGTCTTGGGGACATCATCTGGATGAACAGGCACCTGGAAGCACCATTTAAGGAGATCCAGTTCCGAAAATATGCGGGCGTCGTCTATGCTGGCAGTCAAGTCGGTGATGTTTGGCATGGGGTAATGGTCTGCCTCGGTGTTGAGGTTGAGTGCGCCTCGGTGCGCCACAAATTGCAGGCGGACTATAGTCCACTAGGAATCGAATTGCAAGAGTGTGGAGAGTGGATGCCCAAGGACTGGCAACCTTGGAGCAGATGCCCATACATGCCCATGAAGGAAAGCTTAGCGGCATGGAACATCTCTGGCCTCATGCGACGGAAACGGGAATGGACTGGGGGTCCTGTTCTCTTGATGTGGTGGTACACTCCATGTTTCTCTGTTGCTCCCGGGTTGCTGTGGCGGAGCTCTGGCTTGAAAACTGAAGGGAAATCCATGAGCATGTCCCAGTAGGCATCTTCAGTGAGGCAGCACATGTTGATGCCAGGATGACCTGGAATGGAGACTGCGTTGACCAGTTGAGCAGAGTGAAAGTCTCCGTGTTAATGAGCCGGAGTCTTATCATATCAACCAGAGGAAGTCAGCGCCGAGTAGTGGCAGGGTCACATCAATGGTGAGGAAACTACATGATTAAGTGCACCCAGTGAGGCATATGGCAATGTTTCTGGAACCGTAGGGGTTGATTGGAGTTCCATTGATGGCGACAAGACTATGCAGGTCGTTGTAGATAGCTCATCTATTGGACTGCATAACTGGAAATCTGTAGAGGAAGGTTCCGGCATCTATTTTTTGCTTCTTTTGAGGTTTGCGAAGATCTAGCTTTGCCTTCTATATATTGCCCGGCCTGTGTCAACTTTTTGTGGCTGTCTCATTTTGTTATCTGACACTTGGTGTTTACCGTGGCGGTGGGATTGCCAGTAGGCATGGTGTAAGCATTCCACATAAATCTCTTTTCCAGCACAGCGGCTGTTGTCGGCGCTCACTATGTGTACACAGGGTAAGTTCAGAATGTTCTAGCACTGGCTGCACATATTCAGCCTGCTTTGGCTCTGCCTGTGAGGGCATGGCTTGAGTTGAAGTGGGGAGGGGTGAGGGAGGGGCTGGTTTGACTCTCTTCAGCTTCCTTCCCTTCAGGACTGCGACGGCAATGACCCAGTCTGGGTTATTGCCGTCATATCTACCTCATCATATACGAGATTGTGTCTTGGGGAGGGTTTTGTAGTGCTCTTTGAACCTTTACCCCTGTGGTTCTTTTTCTGCACTTTTTGCATGGCTGGAAACTCTTTTATTGGAGATATCTGGTGTTGGCTGGGGAGAGGCTTCCTTCCTCTTAGGAGGTCGGGAGACTTTTTCTCTTGTTCTGTCCCCAGACATAGATGCCTGGGGGAGCAGGAACAAAGTCTGGTCGCTTTTTAGCAACCTCTTGTCTCTATTTGTTGCCGAGCATGCGGTATAAATACGATATGGGAGAGCAAACAGAGAAAAGAGATTGAGCTTGCTGAGGACATCTGCACTGTACACGAGCTGTCTACCGTGTGAGGATTGAAGATTGCTTGGAGACACGAACATTAGTGTCCCTTCTGTTGGTGAAGGTGAACCCTGCGGGCAGTGCCACAAAGGGACACTGTCCCTTTGTGGCACTGGACTGGACTGCTTTAAGCCACAGAGAAGGGTTTCTTGTGTTAGGGTTAGGAACTCCCTAGGGTGAATGCTTCATAGCATTTCACCAGTAAGTTACAAACTGGGGAGTTTAGGTAGCACTCCAAGCATTCTCTAATGGCGAAGTCCAAGAAGAAGAAGGAGAATACGGGTTCTTCCCCAGCCCCAAATGACCAGCCACTGGACAAGGAAACAAACCGGAAAAAGAATAGGATGACCTCCCCTGAAACTAACCAAGCTTCTCAAAGTACAGATGATCCAGATCCCTCCTGCAGTCCTGACAAACAGACAAAGAAAGCCCGTCATGCCACATTGGAGTCTCAGTCGGCAGACATGCTCCAACAGAACCACGCCCCACTGCATCAAGAAACAGAAACCTCTGGAAACATGGAAACCAGCATGAACCAAACCACAACACTGCAACTGACATCTGACCAGACCAATTCACCTCCTCGATTCCGCATCACAAGCTCTAATGACTTCAGCACAGCGGTAGATGCCGTATTCGCCATTGAAAAAGAATTTCCTTTTTTAGATGTAACCACCTCTATTACTAATGATGGCGATTTCGTACTCACAGCAAACACTGACTCAACAAGAGACCTCCGCTCCTCACTCACAACGCTTTCATCAGGCAAGGTGGTCAACATAATACCTCACATGATGCCGCCTAAGAGATTTAAGGTCATCTTAGAAAAGTTTCCACAGGGCTTTCCTCTTCAACGCCTCACAGACTTACCGTACGTAGTCTCAGCAACTCGTTGTGTTGCAAGATCCACTAAAGACGAAACACGACAAGTTCTTTTGATAACAAACAAACCCCCGCCAAATGAAATCAATCTAGGTATCTTCGGAACCTTTAAAACCAGAAGATACATCCCTGAACCCTTACGCTGCTTCAAGTGCCAGTGATTTGGTCATCATCAGGCCAAATGCAGAGCAACCCCACGCTGTGCCATTTGTGCACAATCACATGCCACAGAAGAATGCTTGGCAAAACTCAAGGCTGGTGAAAAGACAAGCACAAAGTGCCCCAACTGTGGAGGCAACCATTATGCCTGGAACCTCCGTTGTGAAAAGAGACGAGCACTTCTCCCCAAAGACAATCCACCAGATGGACCTCCAACACAACGTACATTCATCAGGAAACTCCATGACTGGAACAAATCCATCACACGCCAGAATACCACAGACAATCCTGCCACACAAGTTGTAGCTCACAACTTCACTTCCTCCGACCTCTTTCAAGCAACAACATCTGCGCTACAAAGCTCACCATCATCTCCCTCCTCACAACACACTGTCATCGGCAAGTTTTTGGTCAACACCATCCAACTTGGCCTTATGGCCCTCGGTAAATCTGTAAACCTCTCAATTCTACAAGCCTTAGTAGATAATGTCATCTCTGCCTTGAACATACACACCAACACCAGACCGAATCCGCTGTACAACAGTTGGAGACACCTCCCATCATCTCCCAGGACTCCACTGACAGCCCAGTGTCATCCAACGATTTTCCACCTCTCCCACAACCATCAGACTCTGTGAACAAAGATCTTCCGCCTCCTCAACGACATTCAACCTCTTTAAATAAGCTTCCTCAGGCCTCCACAAAGGCTATCCATCAGGAAGACCCATCTTCTGCAACACAACCTCTAGCACCTAGTGAACCAGCACCTCTCCAACCTGCACCAGAATGTGGGAGTCAAGTTGAATGCATAGGCATTCAGCTCTCCTTACACCATACTGACCTACTCCTCTTCAATGTATATCGCAAACCTCATCCCAGCTGTGAATTAGAGCTCGACGAACTTTTTGGCTTAGCAGCAAATGAACCAACCATCATCCTAGGTGACTTCAATGCACACCACCCTGACTGGAATGACCCCTCCACTCCCTCTGCTCACAGAATAGATGACACCGGAAGACACATCAAGCAACTTCTTGACACCTTTCCAGAAGCATCACTGCTGAATGCCAGACAAGCTACACACACCAAAGGCGGAGTCTTAGATCTAGTTTTCCTCACCACATCCTTATTGCCCACCGCAAACTGGAATTTTCATCCATTTCTCACCTCTGACCACCTCGCTACAGCAACCATCCTACAATTACCATGCATACCACTCCCTCCTCCAGTTATTAGATGGAATCTAAATAAAGCAGACTGGCCACGATTCACACAAATTTTAGAAGAGTGGGCAACTCATTATACTGCAGCAACAGAACTACCTCAGCTGGAGCAGGACTTCACCACTGCCATTAAAGAAGCTGCAGACATAGCTATCCCTAAAGCCACAATAACCTACCACTCACACAAAGACAGCTGGTACTACTGTGAGAGAATCCGAGAGCTTAAGCGAAGGATACGTCTCTTCAGGAATCTACTAAGAAAATCAAATTCCCCTGGAATTCATGAATCCTTCAGAGCCCTCAGACGACTAGTCAATCGCGAGATCCTGGAAATCAGAAATCAGGCATCTCCACCCACACATCACTAAGTGAACTGTGGGATAAACTTAGAACAGCATCTGGAACACGTAAACCCAGGCCCCCTACACACCCACATCCATTACAAGAAGCAAACAGACTGGGCGACATGTTCGCAGCAAGAAGTGCATCTTCCCAGTTACCGGCAAACATCACTAGGAAACTACAACAACTCTCTCCCACAAGACAGCTACAGATACAAGAAGCCATCCACACTCAAGCTGAGAGTGACTTTCCTTTCACTAAACAAGAGCTCTCTCCCACAAGACAGCTACAGATACAAGAAGCCATCCACACTCAAGCTGAGAGTGACTTTCCTTTCACTAAACAAGAGCTCACACATGCAATATCAAACAAGAAAGATACTGCTCCAGGAGCTGATAAGATCCCATATTCTTTCATTAACCACTTGGGCCCAAGGGGCAAGACAGCTCTTCTCAGGATCTTTAATCAGTCACTACAGTCTGGTCTTCTACCAGCTATCATCCAACCAATTCCCAAGCAAGACACCAACTCCTTTTGACCAATCTCCCTACTGTCTTGTTTAGGAAAGACCATGAAGAGAGCTGTACTTAATAGACTGCAACATCTCAACAACTGCAACAACAGTTTTTCCACCAACAATCTTTGCATACCAAAAAGGTGCAGGCACCGGCGATAACAACGCAACACTGCTATCACTACTAGATGGAAAAGACAGCATTGTAGTATTCTTGGACTTAGAAAAAACTTTTGATCTTGCCAACAAAGAGGCCATCTTATCCTTATTAGCAGAAAAAGGCCTCAGAGGGAGGCTCCTTGAGTGGATACAAGACTACCTGACTGGCAGGAAAGCCAAAGTCAGGTTCCAGGGAGAATTATCTAACTCTTATGATTTCGAGAATGGAACACCACAGGGAGGACTCCTTAGCCACTTTCTCTTTAACATTTTAATCTCGAAACTAGTAGATATTCCATTTCCATCAGATGTTCAGCTTTTAGCCTATGCAGACGATATCCAACTTGTAGCCACAGGCCAAAATCGTCACATAAATGCTCAGACCTCGTTAGACTTACTGGAAAATAAGTGCAGAGAGCTTGGTTTAAAAGTTAACTCAGATAAGTCAAAAGCACTCCAGATAAGAAGAATATCAGCCTGTCGTCAGCTCTATATAGGCAATACACCCCTAGAGTGGGTTCCGTCATACAAATGCCTAGGCATATTCTTCAACTCTGAGCTGTCAGCCACCACACACCTACGATTTCTATTAGAAAGAACAAGATGCCGCCTCTGCATTTTAAGGAAGCTAACCTCTTGTAAGACAGGTGCTGGTTTCAAGGTCTTAAGACTCTTCCACACTCTTGCAATTCGATTCCTAGTGGACTATAGTGCGCCTGCACTACTAACACTCAGCTCTGACCAAATTGTCTCTCTAGAAACCATACAGAATAGAGCCATGAGATCAATACTTGCTGCCCCAAGATGGACTAGACTAGCCAATTTAAGAGTCGAGACTTACTTATCATCTCTCCACACCAGAATCAGACAAATAGAAGTCACTCTCTGTTCAAAGATGATCACACGTACCAGACCTTCACCCTTAAAAACTTTCAGCTGTATATTTCATAACCAAGACTTACACCACAACCTCACATGGCACCGCAAGTTAGCTGAAGCATTCCTCTTCCTTAATACAGTACCTATACTATCGGCAAGAGGAATAGATAACTATCACCCACACTACCATCCAAACCCCCCATGGAAAGACAAATCTATATCAATACACACCAGCACCATTCCTACCACGAAGGCTCTGTGCACTCCTACCATGATAGCACAGTTAAAGGCGAACATAGAGGCACTCAGGGCAGAAGATACTCTCATCATCTACACGGATGGCTCTGTTGATCAGGCCACTGGCAGATCAGGGGCAGCCATAGTTACCGACGACATGAGCATAGCACACAGAGTGTCAGATGGAGCATCCACTCTACAAACTGAACTGTATGCCATCAAGTTGGCTTTCAGACACACAGTATATACTACACACCCAACTATACATATCTTCACTGACTCTCTCTCAGCCATACAGACCCTTAAGAAAAACCAAGTCACAGATAATCTCAAACTAGTAACAACCATTCTCTTTCACATCCAGCAACTGGAAGAACAAGGAAAGACCCTGAGCTTATGGTGGATCCCTAGCCACGTCAACATCTCTGGCAACGAGTCTGCTGCTGCTGCTGCCAAGAATAGTCTACGTTTCAGCACTATCAATGGACACATTACCCCAAGTCTCAGCCGCTTAAAGAAACAAGTCTGAAGAGCTACATATGAAGTGTTATTAATAGAACACCGAGCATGGGTAATTGCAGGATCCCCATCAGCAAATTGGTACAAGATAGTCACCGACTACAATCCTCCATTCTCAGTCACCACTCTTCCCAGGAAATCTGCTGCAGTATACCACAGACTCCGCTTAGGATACAGATGCAATTGGGAGATAGATATCAGAGTCCCCAGGCCATGTACCTTGTGTACCATAATCACTGATGAGCCTCTAATCCACTATATCCTGGACTGCCCTAATATCCAGCAATTACCTCAGCAATACCAAGGCCCGCAAAGAAGAGATCGAAGACAATTTGCTTCTACAGCTGCCAGATGTCTAGCCGAAATACTCAGCTCACCTGATGTCCTCCAGGTACTTACAAGTATACCTCCACCCAGATGAGGAGTGATGCTATGTAATAATCAAAAAAAAAAAAAAAAAAAAAAAAAAAAAAAAAAAAAAAAAAAAAAAAAATCATCACCATCTTCTCTATCAAGCCAGATAGGCATTATCAACACTTCCACAGATACTCCTCCGGGTGGTATAAGCGTAACCCGGGCTAGTCTTGCTTCACCTTCATATGCAGACTAGCAAATGCAACAACAACAACAACAACAACAACAACAACAACAACAACAACAACAACAACAACAACAACAACAACAACAACAACAACAACAACAACACCCCACCGTCGGTGCGGAGGCAATTATGCCGAGCGAGGCAGCGCCGGTGTTGAGTGGTGTCCATCACATAATAAATACCAGGGCTGGGACAAGAAACAAAAAATACTGTCAAAACGAGAAATTAATGGATGAAAAACAATAAAACGGAATGAATCACATTGAAAATAAAAACTCATAACCCTATGGGTAATGTGTATATATAATGTGCAAAGAGTAGGGTTAATGAAGCATGAGTGGTGTTGAGCTTTGGTTATTAATGAATGTTGGTTTATGGATGGATGTAAGTATGCTGTCTATGATGATGAGCTGTTGGTGGTATGGAATGGTTGTATGGGGTAACCTGTGTTTTCTGCATGATTCCTGATTTCCGAAAAGGGTGGCATGGCCATCTGGCATGTCAGTTCGATCGGAAATACCCAATTGCAGTGAGATACCTTACACCTATCATATATATTTGTACACAATTTGTTCTTAAGCCAACCTCCGGGTTTATGTTCTGCACCTTGAATTTTGTTACATAGGGCGTCTTCTGCACGCGCCATGAAAGTTAATCCAGTATTAAAGTTTAAACCGGATCTTTAATGCGCATGCGCATTGGCAGCGTCCAGGATTAAATTTGATTCTCCTCCAGACCAGGCTTTACTTTTGAACCCAACAATTAATCCTGCACATGCGCAGAACGAGCTTGTTAATCCCACCAATCATGTATCGATATGTCATGACAACATTATCAACTCAATAGAAAGTTGCTATTAATATTATTAAAAGGCAATAACGTAACAAATTCTGATATTTTCATGTCAAAGATGTATGTGAAAATTCATCAATATATGTTTTATACGTTGTGCGTTATGCAAACTGCAGATATATCTCAACATTGAAAAGACAAAAAAGGCAATGTTGTTTCCAGGTTGAAAAAAAACATCGAATATTAATCGAATAAAAGAGAAACTTTTAATAGCATCATGTTTAGGTTTCAAATTCAAAGTAATAACCTCCTGACTCTTTAAAATAAAGTGACATTAAAATCGTATGGACATTTGTTATTCGTGCCCCACAATCACACACGAGAAAAAGCTCTCGGATAAACTCCAGCGAATATGATTAGACAATACGAGTATTTCATTTGTGTTTGACACCTTCATTTCGTTTTTTTATAATATTTATAGGCTATTTGAAGGCAATTATATGATTTTATTTGTACAGAGACATATATATCGGCATGATATAATACTAGCTTATATGTGTATATATATTTTTTTTCTTGTGTAGCAAACGTTTCTTATCGACATATGAAACTTGCATCTTCTGTGTAAGTACTGTGGATTTGGAATAAATTTAATCCAGAATTAACTTTTATGACGAGTAAGTTAAGACGTCTATACAGAAGGCTCCACATGTGACCGATCCTGATTTCCCCATTCCTTGAATTGACGGGAAGATTTTTTTTTCTTTTTAATACAATTGATATCGACATTGTTATTATTGTTATTGATATCAAAATCTTGTTAACATTTAAGACAATGAAATAATGCAAAAGCCAAGGCAAAGGGTAAACAGGTAAGATAGATAGGACTAATAAATGACTCTTTGGTGACTAAGCACTTGTAGAGCTATGTATGTGTAAATGCGATAAATAAACTTGTATTCCAGTGGCATTCTGTCTTTGAAGTTGAAAAGGTTTTGGATAATGTTTTTTGTTCTGAAAATAATTTAGTTTGATATGAGGGTAGAATTCACTGATAAGTTTGGATACTTTATGTTTTAACTGGAAGCTGGGTAAACCTGGCTAGATGATAGGGAAGAAAAGCAATTTCTTCAACACCATAATGATCATTATTGACAATGTTCAGAGTTTTACCGATATATGTATCAATAAAATGTTTGGGGAAGCCGTTATTGTAGACAAGGTTTTGGATGAATGAAAGTTCCTCAGTTATGTAAGTCCTATTTGAGCAAACGTGTTGACTAAATTACGGTTGTTTGTACGTTTAGGATGAATGGACATGTGTGTGTGTGTGTGTGTGTGTGTGTGTGTGTGTGTGTGTGTGTGTGTGTGTGTGTGTGTGTGTGTGTGTGTGTATGTGTGTATGTGCATAAGGCCTACACCACCAACACATGCCAAACATATAATAGCATTACTTTATACACATATTATAACATCGTTCTGCTTACACGAACACATTCTCACTCTTCTGCAACCCTTTGGTAATTTTCCATGTCGAGCTAAAAGAGAGTCGCCTGCGAGCGAAATTCAGACAGCCCTTAACTTCCTGACCACACAGAATCTCTGTTAGTCAGTTGTACCATTATCTCCATAATAAACCGCTGCTACTTTCCAGGGAGCTACACCTATAAATATGTATACATATGTATATATTTATAAATATATACATACATAAATATATGCATATACATACATATTTATATATATATTTATAAATAGATGGATAGATAGGTAAATTAGCCAGGTCAACTGGAACAGGACGTACAGATCTCAAGTGTTTTGTGTCTCTTATAAAAGCAAAAATACATCTCCTGTGACAAAGTCAGTGGACCTCACTCCCTATATAGCAAGAACCTTTTCTAAACAGTACCCACAGTGCATCATCCCAACCCTAAACCATATATTAACAATATGCCCAATATACAGTATTAATAGACAACCAATCAAAAACTTTTACATCAAATTTTCATTCAAACTATGAAAAATAATAGGTAAAGTAATAACTTTTCTGAAGGAGACAAAGCTTTATAACCTTAAATAGATTGAAATAATAAATAGGATCCATTGGCTTAATAACCTTGGCCACATGCCGCTGGTTAATAGCCAAGAAAGAAAGAAAGGAAGAGACTGAACTGGGTAGCTCGGTCAACTTACCTCGCTACTCCACAGCTGTGACCCCGAGAACCTTGTGGCGTTTCACTACAGTAAATCGTAAGATATATATATATCGAATCATATTTACATATTGATGATGTTGTGCTTAATTATGGATAATTATTCATGCTGTGTTGTGTGATGGTTTCGGGTACATTTTGATGAGGATTTGTAAAGTGTTGGTAATGGGTTGAGTTTTTGATAAATAAAAATAAGACATTTGCGTTTTATACATTTCCATGAAAGTAATATAAAAAGAGAAGTAAGAACTAAACTAATTATGTAATTATGCATATATATATATATATATATATATATATATATATATATATATATATATATATATATATGTATGTATGTATGTACACATGTGTGTGTATATATATGTATATCTATCTATCTATATATATTCATATATATACATAGATGTATATATATGAATATCTATGTGTATATAAAAATATATATGTGTATACATAAATATATATGTGTATACATGCATATATACATACATATATGCATATATACTTGCATGCATATATATATATATATACATATACATATATATATATATATATATATATATATATATATATATATATATATATATATATATATATGCAGGTATACGAAAGTGGCCTGGTACCCATATTAGACCAGCAGTTCATTTTTAGAGGTTTCTAAGGATTTAATAGCTTTAAGAGAACTTAATTAATCAGAAAAAAATAACTATTCTATCGTGGGGCGTCGATAGTGCAAAATCAATGGCAAAAAGTTCAACAAGAAAAATCGATGTATGATTCGGCAGTCTGAACTTTAGTTCATATTAAGTCGACCATGCACCCGCACCCACACACTCATCTGTCTTGGAGTCATGTACATTTTAGGGCTCTAACACGCACACGCAAACAAGCATTCTGAACACCATCCAAACCTTTCAAACTTGTTTTCGATGCCGAGCCATACACGACCCATAATCTACTTTAAGCCTAATCAAGGCTTTATATATCCTTAGCAAAAACTTTCTATCAGCTCTCCATTTATTACCAGAAATATACTTTCCAACTGTCTACTATCAAATAGACAGAAAAAAAATTGCAGAATTTTGAATAGGTATTGAGTAATTGTCTAGAGATAGCCTGATGTTCGGCTTCCTCCTATGTGAAAAAATCACCCCAATACTCTTTCTAGTGGAAAACTTAAAACCTCACTAGAGGCCGCAGCTATGAATCATATCCAGTGCCAGTTGGATGTGATTTGCTAAGAATTCTGCATTAATGCTGGAATGCCATAATGCACAATCATCAGCGTACAGTGAGTATTTAAGATTCCGAGGAGGAGCTGGTAAGATGTCGTTTATTATACATAGAAATAATGTTGGCAACAAGACACTTCCTTGTGGGACTCCATTTTCTTGGACAAAATTGTCCAAAAAAGTGACATTGTCAGAAAACAATTTGACAGGAAAAGAAAAGTTTTCACGTAATCTGAAAGCACAAAGTTTTCTGTGTAGGACATATCGCCATGTCCTGCCGTAGACTTTTTCTATCTCTAAGAATACTGAAATCAAAAAGTCTTTTTTGGCAATTGCCTCTTGAATATGACTGTCCAGCTTTACTAGTTGATCGAGAGTTTGGCCTCCCTTTCGGAAACCGCACTGCTCGTCAACTAGTAAATTTCTGGAATTAAATAAATGCAATAGCCTACTGCTAACAATTCGTTCCATGACCTTGCATAAGCAACTTGTCAATGCAATTGGGCAGTAGGAGATGGTAGATCTGGGATTTCCCCTTCCTTCCAATATGGGAATGATGTGGGCGAAGTGCCATGAGTTTGGAAAAGTTTATTGTAATCAAAGCCATCTCCTGTGGCAAAGTGGATTGGTTGCAGCTCAGCCGCTTCCTTGATGGCCAGGAATGCGAGATGGTAATTGTCTGAGCTGCTTGTATGAGAGAACTGCCTGGCAATTGCATTAGCAGTGTCTCTAGGTGAATTTGCTTGTCTTATTACTATACGAGCCTTAGCCCTTGCTTGTTGGTAGTTGCAAAAGTCCTTGTTATTGATATTATTTTTGAAAAGCCTGTAGGCCTCATTGCGTCGGCACAGCGCCCTGTGGCAATCTGTTGTCCACCATGGAACTCTATGCTTGACGCTATCTGTCGAAGTTGTAGGAATGGATAGCAATGCTGTTTCTAATATCGAATTCTGTATTGTTTACTTTATCATGAACGGTTTCTCCAACAAGTTCGAGTTTGACACTCCTTGTGAAGGCGACCCAGTCTGCTCTTTTTATGTTAATTTTTTGGTGCTGAAGGCGTTCTCACTGTGTCACATGAATATTCAATCAAAATAGGAAGATGATCACTTCCCAATGAGTCGTCAATGGTGTGCCACAGGCACTTGGCTGCTATTGAAAAAGAGACCAGTGATATGTCAATAAAGCTCAAATTACCGGTATAATCGTCCACCCGCGTTGGACTACCATCGTTCATAACCACTAAATCAGACTCATTAATCAACTTAACTACTTGCTCACCTCTACCATCCACCCGCAAGGAATCCCATAACATATGATGAGCATTAAAATCACCTAAAATTACTTTATTTTGTAGCAGACTATCCTGAGGAGTAAAGAGTTCATCATAGATTATCACATTATCAGGTGGACAATAAAATGAACATATAGTCAGATACGTGCCATTGATTTTTACTCTGCATGCAACAAACTCCAAAGTTGAATCAATAGTCACTTCGGTAAATTACATTGATTATTTAAAATTTTCTGCCGCGTCAACAGCTGGGGTCATTAGCGGCGAACACCTTGTTAGACTGAAATATTAAAATATTTTAAACGTTAAAAATTTATCAATAAATATCATATATAAAAATAAACATTATATTAAAAATCAAAGCATAAACATTATGCTCTGTATGTCTAAAAACTATTGCATAAACATTATGCTCTGAATGTCTAAAAACTATTGCATAATTATGCATAATTAAATTTTACTGAAAATATTAGTTTCCCTCAGGAATCTAATAAGACCTTCTATGTCACAATCCTCCCCAATACATTTTTCAGTGTATATGGGGGAAACAAGTACCTTCGTCTTTGGTCTGAGAATGTTGCACATCTTTCCAATGTATGTGCGATCGTTAATGGCTCTTGGCATTCCTCACAGCATGCTTCGCTTTTTGCCATCATCGGCCCATGAGTCATTCTTGTGTGCCCGATTCTCAGCCTCGTTAATACAAATTCCACTTATCGATTGCGATGGATGCTGGTCACCCAACTGCCAAAGTCATCTCTAATCTCTCGTAGTTTATTTCTAGAGGTATGCCTCCATTTTTCACGGAGACAACTTCTGATGCTGGGTTTCAAATCAGTGTGTGGGGGGAGGAAAACAAGTATCACAAGTTGAGCGGCAGCTGCCTTGATCTTCTGATCAGCTCGCTCATTCCCACTGATACCAACATGTGCTGAGTTATCTTTTTACATGCTGACATCAGTGCAAGCCAATCTTGAACCTCCCTCACCATTGGATGTGATGAGTTTAAGCTCTTGATTGCTTGCAAGGCACTATGTGAGTCACAATATATTGTAACAGAATTGTTTGTAAGATCTCTAGTAGTCTTGACTGCTGCAAGGAAGGCATGTAACTCTGCAGTGAAAATCGAGGCTGATCGAGAAAGACTGCCAGATGCAGTCTCCCCTCTGCTCACTGCTGCAAAGCTCACATCATTTTCAGATTTCGAACCATCTGTATATATTGCATATGATCCCTGGTACTTAGAAGTGTGTTGAAGAAATATCTCTCTGACTTTGGGATTTGGGAAGTTCCAACAGCCAGAACCTTTGTTAGATTTAAATTAAGATCTTCCACAAGATTCCTTATTCTCCTACCATAGGATCGGCTATCCTCAAGGGGGTTGAAAACTAATCTGGATGTAGGAGATCCTGGAATCCTTTGTAGTCTTGTGTGGTAAATCAGGTTCATGTAAGCCCGGTGTAAAGAAAGAGGTAGTTCTCCACTCTCAGCATACAGGGATTCCACAGGTGAAGACCTGAAAGCGCCTATACAAATTCTCAGAGCTTCGTTATGAACCGAGTCCAACATCTGGAGAACAGTGGGAGTTGCAGATGAATAAGCTTCACATCCATAGTCAAGTTTACTACGAATAAGTGCTCGGTAAAGTCGCAGAAGCGTTGTGCGGTCGGCAACCCAATATAGGTGTGAAAGAACTCACAAAATACTAAGCGCTTTTGTAGTTATCACCTTTTACTGTTTAATGTGAGGCACCCATGTAAGCTTTGAGTAAAAAATTAGAGTACTTTACCTGTTGAACAAAATGTAGTGGGTGCTCCTAAATAGAGGGAAGGGTGGAACTTTCCTCGTTTGTGGAAATTCATAGCCATGGTCTTGCAAGGTAAATCCGCGATGTGAAGTGATTAACAGCATCTTGAACATGCTGGAAATCATTCACAGATCCTTGCAATACAGCAGTTGATCTAAAAAGATTCCAGTCTGCATGTTCAAGTCGCCATCTCTGCACTCCATTGGCTGGAATACCATTCACCTCTTCCAAAATTATTGGAAAGTGGTCACTTCCATGTAAGTCTTCCATGACCTGCCAAGTGAAATTCAACTGGGAATCAGGTGAAGCAACTGACAGGTCAATATTGGAGAATGTCCCAGTTTGAATTTGGAAATGTGTGGGTGCGTCACTATTCAGTAAAACTCTATCTACTCTTGAGAACAAGGACTCTAAGGCCCTTCCTCGAGAGTTGCACATAGTGTCTCCCCAGAGATGATGGCGGCCATTGAAGTCTCCTATGAGTAGAAATGGATGAGGCAACTACCCAAGTAAATCTTCCAAATCATCTATGTTGAGATTATGTGGAGGGAGGTAGATGGATGCAACAGTGTAAGGTCGTGTCAAGCTTATTCTCACGGCCTTCACCTGCAGTGTCGACTGCAGGTGGATGGCCTGGAAGGGAATATCCTGCTACTCCTCCATGAGGTCCATTATCAAAGCTCCCATGATAGGCTTGAACTTGGAATCCTCTCAGGGAAATTGGACAATTTTCCCTGGTCATAGTCTCTTGTAGGCATACACAAACTGAATTACAAGAAGCTATCAGATGTTGCAATTCTTCCCATTTTGCGTGAATTCCCTGACAATTCCATTGGATTAGGGTATCCAATTCTTCAGGTTGACAAGCCACTTCATAAGGTGTTTGGCAGCACCTGTGGTTAAGGTCCGCCCCACACCTTTAGACTGTCCCTTTCTAGCATCTTGGGAATACCTCTTTATGGGTTGTTTACCTGTGGAACTAGTTTCCACAGGCTTCCCTTGGGCAGACTCAGGATTTCTTTGCTTGGGCAAAGGACGGACCTGAGCCTTTGGTTCAGGAGCATTCTGTCTAGCAACGGAGGCCCCTGTGGATGTGGTGGCCTCTGGAGCCCTGTCTGGTGGCTCCAAAGACCCGACTCTATGAGGAGTCTTTTGAACGGGCTCAGGATTCCTCTGCCTGTGCAAAGGGCGTACCTGAGCCTTTACTTCAGGGGCATCCTGCCTAGCAGTAGAGGCCCCTGTGGATGTGGTGGCAGCTGAAGCTGTCACCATTGAGGCCTCTGGAGCCTTACCTGATGGCTCCAAAGACCTTATTTTGGGAGGAGTCTCCTCAACAGACCCTTCACTCCTCCTCTGTTTCTGGTGGAACAACTCACCAGAGGAAATTTCATCATTTGCGGACTGATTTTTAAAGGTAGTGGCAGAGTGTGTGGTGTTAGAAGTATTGGAAGGTAAGGGATGGTGGGGAGGAGGATGGGCTAGAACTGAAGCAAAGGACTTACCCGGCTGTGCAAACAGCACATGGGCACGTCACTTTGCTTCTGCAAAACCAACTTTCTCCTTGCTCCTTATTACCAATACTTCTTTTTCAAACTTGTATCTTTTACATTGCTTAGAAGCTTCATGTTCTTCTTTGCAGTGGTAACAGCATACTGGACCTGGACATTTGTCATCTCCTTGATGACCTGTTGTACCACACTTCACACACACTCTTGGTTGTCCATTTTCCTTAAAACAGCAAGAGTTTTATGGGCTCCATGCCCATAACCCTGACAGTGGAAGCACCGCATAGGGTTGGGTACATATAGCTTGACCTTGAGGTGGTACCAAGCCAACTTAACTGATTCAACTTAATGTTTCAAAAGAAGAGATGGTGTCGACTGTTCTAAACCATCAACTTTCTTCTCAAAACGTTTTACAGCCACTACGTTAAAATTCTTTTATTCTCCTCCGAATACCTCATCAGGTCTTGGGAAAAGACAATTCCCTTACACTGATTGAGTGTTTTGTGAGGAGAACATGAGCCTTGAGCTCCAGGAATGTTGCATATTGCACGCAGACGGTCACTTTCGTCTGGTGATGAAATCACTATAAGAATACCATCTCGCTGTGGGGTGATGCGAGGATCACGTTGACATACCTCAACAATCTTCCAATGTACAAAAATATCAAGATCCATGATTGATACATCATCAATGATCTTCACAACTAGGTATTTACTATATGAGATACTTTCATATTTACCAGGTAAGATTTCCTTAATGGAATGAGGAGGACTTTTCTCCTTCTTACCTGGTTTGGAAGCTCGGGAACCATTACAATTCCCATTCTTGCCCTCTGAAATCTGGTAAGGTTCCAGAGTGACAACATCTGATGTTCCAGAGGAATTGGCCAAGGGATTGCATAGGTCATCAGGGAGAGAGCTTGTTCTTTGTAAATTTGCAGAATTCATACAGTTAGAAATCTTCATTTCCTCCCTCCCCCCACCACCATGGAGGGGGGGGGGAAGCTATAGTTGGGACTTAAAATCTCCCAACAGCCACAGGGGTAGTGAAGAAATATACGTAGTCACTATTAGTGCTAATGGTAGTCGCGGGACCTATGCGATACCGACTGAATAGTGCCTGTTTGACCAGCCGATTGACTTGACCGGGCCTTGATCAAGCCACCTGTCTAACCAGAATAAAGCGCCTCCTCTCCCTCGCTTCCCGGGAACCTCTCTCGGTTCCATGTTCTGCACCTCTAGGCAAGGGAGACGACTGACAGATTGCGATCTGCTTCTCGCTCGAGAAACCGATCGTGAGCCAATCGAAGTCTTCACAGGAGTCGCACGGACGGGGGGGGTGCGCTCCGGACTGTAATTGGGTATCAGCTTCCTTAGAGTTAGTTTGAGTTCGGCAATTTTTTTATACTTAGCTGCAAGTTGCTCTCTGACATTACTTGCACTAGGGGTGATGTTAGTTACCGCTGCAGCATAGGGAGTATCGGGTTTGTGTGTCAAACTTTCCACTTTCCTTTTAGCTTCAGTATAACTAACTTATGTTTTCTCATAGATGCTAATGTCTCAATCTCATCTTCAGGATGCTGCACTCAGCAGATCCTGACTGATGGGGACCTCTACAGTTAGCACATTTGGAAATCTGGCTAGTACATGTGATGGTGTCATGGGTTTTAGCACATTTACAGCAAATAAATTTATTCGAGTCTTTATCAATCCATCTTAATGAAGTGTGACCGAATGTTTGGCATTTATGACAATGCATTGGATTTTGGATGTAAGGCCTTACTTGGACATGTTCATATCTAATATTGATATACTCAGGGATTTTATTTAAGGCAAATGTAAAACACAGAATTTCACTTTTTTCCATCGTCCTCAAATCCCTGTGAAAGATTACTTCCTTACAGGTATTTGGGCAAATAGGAATAGTTACTTTAACTCGGAGATCATGAATTTGCTTAAGCTTAAGTAAATCCTTAATCTGGGAGTTATATTGTACTTTATCAAGGTGGCCTCCATCTCGCAATTTTTTGACAAAATCAAAATCGCCGTCCACTTGACCATCAAGAACCTTTTTGATGATAAAGGGGTTCATGTTTAAAAACGATTGATTTTCACGCATTTTACATTCGCGAACGTTGCATTCTCGGTGGGGATTTTGAAAAGTGGTCTT